ATTACCACGCCGAATATCGATTATCGTGTGAATTATGATTACGATAGTTGATTACGATGTCAAAATACGTATCGGACGCAATCGGGATATTTATTTGGTTTTGATAACCACTTGAATAGTAATTCCTACCTGCTATGTACGGGCCGCAATCGAGATAGGTGAAAAGGTAAAAAGGTTACTTTGGGCCGCAATCGGGCGACGCCCCGAAAAACATAAATATATGACTCAAACAAAAAATATTATGTGTGTACGATAAATAATGACGATTAATTTTTATAACATATAAATAATATAATAACTTGATTAAAAATAAGTAATATGTATGTTAAATATTATAATTACATAAATTAATTCATTTGTGTGTATTCTTACACATTTGATATCATGTAAATTCCTGCAGTGTAATTATTAGCTGTAATGACTATTGGTTAGATTTTTATTCACTTTACGTTTTTTAATGCTTGAAAGTGAATGAAAAAAGAAAGATTCCATTCTTTTATTATTTATTTTGTTCATAGTTTTCATCATATAACAATCATATAATTAATTATATCAAAGACAATGCATCATCTCTTGAAAATTGCAGTTTTAAAATAAAAAAGCTTAAAACTCAGTATATCCCTATATCCAAATTAGGGATTTTTATCCCACGATTTAATATTCTTAATATGGTATTAAAATAAAAACATGTTATTTTTTGTAATGAACTATTGATATTATAATATAGGTATTGAGCCAATATTAACGTTTCCCTTACTTTCAATTATCTTAAGTTACTTTGATCGTACCAAGTAAATTATAGAAGGTAAATCTCATATGTACCTATAATACAATGTTATAAATTTTCAGCTTTAGTCGTCATTGGTTCACAAATGGATTAAAAACGTAATATACATTTTAAAACCATGCTGTGGTACAAATATCCCAACGAAATTAATAGTTGACGTGGAAACCGTGTACATATATTCCTTTTATATATTAATTATCGTATTACAATTATGACATTGTGTATGTGTGTGTATGGGGGGAAAGGGGTGAGAGTATTAGTATAAATATGTGGTTTATGCCGAGAAAAGGGGCGGCGGAAACCCTGCGGCGACGGCCTGTTGCTGCGTTTCGGTCGTGTGTGACGTGCGTACAACCTATAACGGACGCATTGCAACCACCCTCTATTTTGTTGTCTGAGGGAGGCTAAAACAAAAGGGAGACAACAACAAGTGGGTCAAACCGTTTAAGCCAAAACCGCAAAACAATTGTGATACATCACAGTTTATATACGTATATATGTACATATTATTATTATTACTTCAACGACCCTCGTTTTGCTCGTTGTAGTCGTTTACTTCCCTCGCAATCGGTTTTGCAGCAGTGTATAATTATTTATCCATTAGGGCGACGTGACTTGAACAGACGACGATTGAGTAGCTCGTAAGCAACGTAAACGAAATATTAACAATCGCGATCGTGGGGTGGTCTGTATTTTTTTAATTTTTTTTTTAACTCTTGCGAGCTCTCCACGAATCCTATGGATGGATTTACTGCTACAAAGATCTGCGTATCGGATCTCATCTCTCGGTTTTTTTTTTTTTAGCGGACGCAATGCGGTTCTGCTGATAATACAGTACAGATATTTTTTCAACCGCAAACATTTTTGACCTATTTTGATGACGTTCCAAATTCTGATACCGCTTAAAAAAAGTCACTACATTCATATATACATGTATGAATGATGTGTTTATATTGTAATGAATGAATTTGCAGTGCTCGGCTTGCTATAACTGATTACAATTGCATCACTTGTTCTATTGTGTTCTCGTCGAATATACGAGACCACACGTTATTATATGTTAGAAGTCTACTGTATATTATCTAGTGCAAGATATCATATGATATTGAAGTCTGAAACAATAATACTAATGGTATAAAATTGTTGTTTATTTCGGTGTTATATAACGACCTGCGACCCTTTTATATGACGATGTAGAGTACAATAGTCCCTGGATGCGAATCACATCATACCATCGGAAGGTTGTATTAAGTGTATCGGTGTGTTAATATTTATTTTTCATGTCATTGATAATAAATATCACTTTAAAGTCATATTTTGTTTCAAATAATTTACTTTTGGTAAATAACCACGATAGATTTGCTTTATTTTACTAGACTTGTATTGCATGTATATAAATACAATCCATTTTCATACATTTCATTACTCTAAAATTTTTCTTATATCATTATTCAACATACTATAATACCCATAATATATTCGTATCAAATAAAAACAGTTATAAGTTTACACCCGCTATACTTTCATATTATCGTGATCCTGTCAAAATAATAACATAATATATATTTTTGCTAGAACTCCTTGTTAAATATTCATATGGAATGACTGACCATCTCCACTGATCAGGAAAATAAGTTTGATTATATTTTGTTTTTCATTTTTTTTTCACGTTATATATAAATTCACGTTATATTATAGGTTTTTATTTTATATTTTTTTCAAAAAAGTCATTTGTATTTAAATTTTTCAAAATGTGTTTTGCTTCTACAATATGGCAGAGACTCCGAAGAGTTATATGATGCTTAAGAAGTGACGCAGCGTTGTTGTAATTTCATTATATTACCGTACACAATGTATTATTTCCATTAAAAATTATCGGGCAATGAACAGTATTGTATTAAGTGCTTTACAGGCCTTAAGCAAATAAATCAGACGGACCTAATCGACCATAAAAAGTAAAATAAAGATTTATGTGTCCTATATTTCAACCGTGCTTCTAAATTACGAATTAAAAATAAAATTACATTATCATATCAAGAACATTACTAAATTATAGGTAAACACTAAAATATTTGTATATTTATTATAAAATTAGTCACTGTGATCGTTGCAATTGTTTACTTGTCTATCCTCTTCATCTATACATAATTTTTTTTAGCTTTTTAATTTAAAAAAGTTCGAATAGCATCATTAAGGTTTAGAGATTTTATAAATGTAATCTCGAAGCTCAAAATTCCAAAGTTCTGCAGATTATTTTGTGATAGCGAAGATCGTTATATATTTTAATAATTTTAATCGGAAAATAAAATCGTTATAACCAACATTTGAAATCAAATTTAAATCAACTATACATATTTAGCAAAATATTCTTATTATTTTTTTCGTTCGTGATGATTAATAATCAATATGATGATGAAAATCGTAATAACTGTTTAACCTTATTTATAAAATTGCCTGGGAAATCTTTTGGAAACCTGTTTAACAAATTTTTCATTCCTTCTTGTATTTCTTCGTTTTCCATACCCATTCAAATTTTGGATAGTAATTTAATTTAAAATTTTCTTACGCAATTATTAGCGTCAATTTTATGTTTTAGAGCACTATAGCACATAAAGCTAATCAATTATTATATAAAAAAAGTTTATTTTAAATAATTATTTTTCAATTGGTTCATGAGAATAACTTTAATTTCTTTTAATTTTTTTTTTTTGTAATTGTTTTTGTAACAACCTTATTTGAATCAAACCAACGCACCTATGTTATTATTACAGAAATAAAACGAAAACAAACAAATATAATATTTGTAGGATTTAATTTAATTTTTATAATATTATAACCACAGTGCATGAACTGTATATTTGCCATTTTCCTTTCGGCATTCGCATGAATAACATTATTTACAAAATGGTCGAATGAAAAAAATTAATAAATTTAATATTCTTAAATAGCCTTTATTGAACGTTAAATTAAAACAAAAATAAATAGAAATACATGTGTGTATACTGTAAAAATGTGATTAGTTCAACCGATATTTGGATGTAATCTATTTCTGTCGGCCGAATTTGTCCCCGATAAACGTTCAAATAATTCAGCCAATTCCGAGTCTATCCATTGACTTAGTGTGTCGGTTTATAACCTAACTGACTATATATATAACCTAACTATAACTAACTCTTACCTGTAAACAGATTTTAAATTTTCTCATTACAAAAAAAAATTCTACGGACCAAATTTTTTCGAGAGCCTTAAGCCTTAATTGATTCATTTATAGGTTTATCCGGCTCTGGTAATGGTGTTGAAATAACTGTATATAATACACCAATAGTCATTGTAAGTGAACAAGTTAATTATATTTCTAAATAAAAAATTTTATTTTCACCTCCATCTACACTCGATACAGATTTTTTATTGAAGTCAAATATTGAACACCAAAACATATAGTTGCATACATATGAATAATGTAATATACGTATGTATATAAGTATCATATGTCCATATAATATACATATATGTTATAGTTTACTTAAGACGTATTTCAATTCCGTTTAATTTTTTTCTCTCTCATCACATTACTATTTTAAAACAATTTTTACCTACTATTAATTATTATTAAATCACCAATAAAGGGAGTTCAATAAAAATTGAATATGTATATATGTTTTTTATAATGAATACGTAATGATTAATTATATTTAAATAAATACTGTATATGCCTGGAAGACAACCATTGAGGCATACAGAATACGTATACTGCAAGGTAGATAATATGTATATTGTATATATACATACCTACTCTGAATATTCATTGCAGCAATATTGTGCATATTTTTATTTATCTGTTCCAGTCGACAATATTTTAATTATGCGTATTATTCATCGAGAAATTCTTGAACCATGCCAATTCTCCCCTATACGTATATGCACGCAAATGTGTTTCTGCATGTCTGCGATAAAATAATTATTATTATACCATCGGGTGTGTGTGTGTGTGTGTGTGTGTGTGCGTGTGTATGTGTTCAGGACTTGTCATGTGGAGTGACAAAACGTACGTTTCCAATTATTATTCCGAACAGTTGTAATAAAATATTCTGTTTCTATAACTGAACCACCAGTCTGTATGCTATATTTAATAAGTAACAACAATAATATATAGACGTACCCTTACACCATGCTTGATATTGATGAATTAACGTTTGTTTTTTTCTTTTCGCAGGCCATTAGCCGAGGACGATGCCGCGGCCAAACAACAGAATAACGGGACAAAAACATCATGTAAGTATATATATAACACATAATATAATAACCATCATACGAATAACTTGTACCTAAATAATATCATTATCTATCTATGAACTAATTTGTGCATAGTGTTAGAAACGAAGAAAGTCTCGTTTTCCATGCATGTGTATATCATATAATAATATTATTATCATTATACACAACGTGTCAGTCGTAATGACGATACTACGGTAATCGTCAACTGATTCGTATAAAATTCAACACATTTTTATTTTCTATTCTATTTGTGCCTGACGCGTAAAACAATAATATAATCATAATAAAATGTTATTATATGCAACCGGTTTGTATGACCCAAAACGGTCGGTGGCCGGTCAGACGGCGAATTGTGTAGGCTCTACTTAGCACACAGCTGTTGCACAACAGTATGACAACACAGCGTTCAAGGCGTTTTCTTTTAATCCAATATTATTGTTAATCTACCCGTGGACACCACGCGGATCAGCAGCAACCACGACGTATCGAATATTATTACAACCACTCGTCCTATCCCCGTGCACGGGATTTCGCTCTAAACATCACCTTTTTTTATTATTCAAAGGTTTCTATGAACAATAAATAATATAAATCGCGTTTTGATAACGTAAATAACGTAACTCGTACAGCTAATGTTAATGCAATAATTCATAATTCACCCGAAACATTTACTATTACAATAAATATGTAAATAAGATAATTACTCGCTTAGAGAATTTTTATATCAACGATATTGAACCGTATCATTCTCCTTATTAGTCATATAGTTTGTATAATTTAATAAATTGACTACTGGACTACTAATTCATATACTTAGACAACGCTTACGCAGTGTATACTCATTTCAAAGTTCGCCTATGCTCACTACATGAAAATCATTTATATTCAATGTAAATAATGATATAAAACGTTTTGGCCGCATTTGTTTGTTGTGTACAATGATAATGTGTACCTATAATGACTACTTGTCAGCTAAAGAAATAATTTTGAAGACATATTTATAAAACTTCAAATCCTCCCAGGCATTCCATAATTATACGCACATTTACTGAAATAAGTTGATATATTATTAACCTTTGGTAGATAATACTTTTTTTGTACATCTATAAATTAGTAACTGTCTAATAGCAATCGATCGTCGTAAATATATATTTATATGTTAAAAAAAAATTATTGATGCGTTACAATTTTTCTCTTTTTAACTTTACCCATCATTATCTTAACCCTAATACAAATCAAAGAAAAAGACGTATACTCGTATTTTTTTTCGAGCTCTGTGTGTTTATTTTCGTATCTCGCCCTAATATAATTTTTTGTATTTCTCAAATCCCTCTCTCTCGTGGAATTTGTCACCCGCAGACAAATTAGTTATCCACTAATCCATCCATGTATGCGTATGTGTGTGTTCGTATATGCGTAAAAAAAAAATAAAGTATAATTTTCCCGGGTGGACCGAACAAACGATCACAGCAGGCAGGTTCACAAAACTATCATCGTCGTTGTTTCTCATTAATGAACCACAGCCTCGCTGGAATAACTGCGTAGGCAGCGGAATACGTTGTTGAGGGGACAAGGGTAGTGGTGGAATGGACTTCCGGCCAGTTTTTCTACGTCACCTAAAAATAAACCGTCGCACACCTTTTTTTATTTAATTATTTATTTTTTTTATAAACATCTCTGTTACTTTTGTCCATAATATAATTTGTTTTTTAATTTGTCACATTTCGTTATTGTCATTATCGTTATTATTATTATTATTATTTTCATATTTCGTTTATCGTTGAACGTATTCATTTTTATCACACACACACACACATTACGTATTATATGTGTACACACAAAACCAGAAATATACGGTTGCTGGACAAGAGCCACGGCGGAAAGACGATTCTTTCCGACGTCGACGGCGGTCGCCAGTGACTGAGGAAAAAAAAAAAACAATCGCACTTGCAAAACATATAGAGAGTAAAAAGACGCTCTCCGACCTCCTACTTTCCTCCTCGCACCATACGATCACTGTCTCTCTCTATTCGCGGGACAGCTATATCGTGTAGTATATACTATTTTTTGTAAACACTGAAGCCGAGCCACAGAACCGAATGATAATGAAAATAATACAGTAATGTCAAAAATAAGAAAGAACAAACAAAAATGCGTATTATTTTTGGCCGCCACAAAGGAAACGAGTCAGCAACGCACGCGTATGATATACGCCGCAACGTCGACTTTTCCTATTCGATCGTCTCCCTTTACACATACGAGGCGATTGAATATTTATACGTGTACATTCACGCGCACGCGCTGGCCGCAGTATACCACCACACACCGTCGTCCATTCATAAAAAAAAACACTAATATTATAAATAATTGTATATATGTACAGGCTTCACGCGTGTATATACGCGCGTTCCTATGTAAATATATAAGCGTACGTGTATATAACATAATATGTACACGTAGTATCATCGCAGCCACCGCATTTCCGTTAACGCGAGGAAAAAAAAAAAATTCTTCACGCGTTATTATAATAATACGATCTCCATCCCCTCTCCGGTGTGTATCGCCACCGCGGTACACTCGTTTGCTGTGCATCATTAATGGCCCGTGAACACAAAGTGTTCCGCGCGCGCCCTCTTATTAATTAAGAATGCGTACTACCGACATGCACCGTCCTTCGGTACACGAACGTCGTCGGTCCTTCGTGTCTTCGTCCGTGTCCTGCACAGAAGCACCAACTAACGGCACCTTCAGGAGGTAGATAAATATATGTACATCACAGATGTATTATATATGTATGTATATATTAATGATAAGCCCTAGATCGGTTTGATTTATTTCTTTATTTGTATGTGTATATTATTTATATATAAGTGTGTGTGTGTGATATATACTCGTACATATGTATATTTTATTTGCGAAACAGGATGTCGTCGCGCAAGGTATTCCTCGTATTTTATATTTCTGTCTGTTATAGACACGACCATATATTTATACACTGCGTTCATCCGTCGTATAATATTATATCACACGCGCCATGAATTACTAAAAGCAGAATTCAATTTTTTTTTTTTTATTTCCCACTTTCAAATTAATTGATGATAACATTAAAAATATATTTTACTTCTATTTATAAGATATATATTTTGTAGTTTTTGGGCCAATGGAAATTAAATTGGGGTACTAAACATGTGACTGAATTAATAGATTACTACATCAACATCTGTGACGTAATAGTTTATCTCAACGTATCAGCATTTTTTCATTCTAACAATCTAAACTCTATATATTAGCACTGATACTTTAAATGTCTTAGATTTCAGCCGATCAATGATCACAGTATACTTCAATTAACAAATTAATTTATTTCGCTATAATATAAATGCTTGAACTGTTACCTGAAATAAATATATTACGATATTAGATACATAATATAACGGTCGTAAATAATTGTCGAATGTGAATGATGTACTTTTACCGTGCTGTCAGGAGTATACGTAAGTTCAAATGTTTTATGTATATAAATCTAATTTGGTAGGTATTGAGTCATAGAATTCGTCCTTTTAATATTTTTAATACCTTCTATGGTGGATAATTTTAAAATAATTTAAATTGTATTGAAATTATTTAGCACACTTATCCTTAACTTAAACTTAAAATATGTATCTATATTATAATATACAGAAGTCAGAGTATGTAGCATAAAAAAATTGGCTAACTTTCTTTTACTATTTTATAACTTTACAGCTTATATATCCTATAGTACCGTTCTCTGTATTAAGTAATAAAATAAAGTAAAAATTTATTTAAACGTATTTAAAAATAAAGTAAAAAGTTTACGGGGAACAATTTTTATTTATATGTTCGAAATATAACAAAAAAATAACCTCTCATCAATGATTAAACTATGCAATCCTAATTTAATCCATAGATATAATCAATAAAACCAATTAAATTATGTAGAGGTATAAACGATATTTGTAAACAATTTAAAATAGTTAATATAGGACTTTAAAATTAATTTTCAAAAACCCAATCAAAATTGTTGGTTATTTTCAAAGTTTGTACGTACTATAAAAGCTTTCAATTTCAGACTTCTGTTGCTATTACGAAACATATATTATAAATTATAAAAGAAAGACCAATTCTTATTTATATTATGAAAAAATGTGTTATCACTCATTTTTTATACGAATATTTACTATTTACATTACAATAACTCATGACTACTTAGTATGAATTCTAAGTATTTAAAATTAACTAAAACTCAATTAATTGAATAATAATGAAACCAATATTTTTCCTTACACCAAAATAACTGAATAAATAAATATGACTTTAACATTTGTTTTCAATTAAATGTCATTATTTAATTATAATATACCTAGGTATCTTTTACACATATTTGTCAAAAATCATAATAAACTTATCTCATAAGATAATGCGGTTAAATTTTTAGGTTTTTCACTTAAATAATAATGTTATGAAAATTAACCCATACATTTATATAAACCAATATATATAAAAAAAAAATAAGTAAATAAACAAATATTATTTAAATTTTCATAACTACTCATATTTTTACAACTATATATCATTTATAATTAATATACTTGTTTTATAGTGTTTCGTGTATAATAATAATTAACAAAATATTGCAAATAGCTACAACAATGCATATTATATTTTTAATTTTCTATTAATTAATTCTTTACTTCAAACATTAATAGCACGTACGCTTATGTTTATATCTAAGTATATACATATATCTACACAAGCTTAGGACGTACATGCACGTAGGTACATTATTTCGTGATTCGATTACACGTGGGCGACAGAGTTTAAGAGACGACAAGAAGTTAAGGGCAATAAAAAAAAAAAAATGTTCTGAGTGACAAAAGTTGATAACTATAATACAGCATAGTATAGTGTTGAAAACGAACACACAAAGAGGAATTATGGTAGTAGGAAAACAACGCAATTTATTTATGGTGCCCTGGCAAAAGTTTTTAATTACGTTATACTGTAAAAGACGGTAGCGGCGGCGGCGGATGAAATTGGGTCCTTTTTGCTTTTATCTTTTGCTTCTCATCTGTATACACTTCACCGCTTCTCACCCCGATTCTCGCTCTTTATGCGTTTCTTACTCCCATCACATTGTTTATGGTCGGTTCGATGAACAAGGAAAGGGAATTTTGATAAATCTACTTAAAAGTATCTTGGAAAATCACATTATGCATTTATTTGATCGTCATAAGTACATTGAGAAATTAACTTGAGAATATTATATCATTCACTGTAATATAGTGTATATTATATTGTATGCGATTTGTTATCAATTGTACGCCAATACCTACTGCCGGAAACGTTGTATTGTAAATTAACATTCGGAATTTAATTAATATGTATGACAAAAACTAAACGCTTTATTAAAACTGCTCCGAGACAAATTAATCACGAGTTCATTTATTTCTTGTTATTGAACATTATAAAGGACTAATTAAATTACATGGGAGATAAATATATCAATATAAATGACTACATTTTAAATGAAATTAAAAATCAAGAAATATAACAAGATCAGTGGTGTTATATCCGGAATTCAAAAATAATTATCTTATAAAATAATAAGTTGTCTTATAACTATTGTTGATGTAGTGTATTACGAGTATGATGTATTAGTATTATGTGTTAGTAAATTTGAATATTTGTTACAGATTAGTTATGACAAAACTATTATATATTGTACAATTTATAAGATAAACCTAGGTACCTAATGGTAATTTATTATTTAATCGTTGACTTCTCTACTAACTTTGTGTTTGAAAGTAATATAAATATTTTTGAAAAAATAATGTTTACATTTTATTTCACATTCTAAAATAGAATAAATATTCAAAAATGTCAATATTATTCATCGATTGAGCTATTATAGCTTATTTACGATGTTAGGATTATTCTCAGATGTATTCTATGTCTACGGTAAACTGTTGAATTATCCATAAATAATAATTAAAACACATTATTACGAACGTCTTCGATATTTATAAAACAGTATCCTTAGTTTTAGCCAAATTTGAGTTTTTATCTTAATATACAAGTTATTGTGTACGTGTTGATATACTTAAAAATTCATTTTGATCAATCTGTGATAAATATATCTTTGTTTAAAATTAATTTGTGCTCGCTTTTATATCGTTTTGATGATTACGTGGAGGGTTGGTCGAATAATAATATATTCGTTGACATAAAATCACCGACAATCAAATAGACAGAAGAGCAAACAAGGGGATAAAATAATAATTAAAACATAAATAAAATTATCAAAAAAGGGAACACTCGTACATATATTGCATAACTGTAGGGACAACCGTACATGAAATTCACTTTGTGCACTCATTCGCTCTTTTAGATTAATTATTACATTTTTAATGAGTCTTCCCTCTCACTAAGTGCTCAACCAACTCATTGGTATATATACAAAAAAATAATACATGTTTACAACATACATAAATTATAAACGTGTATATTTTTATATATATATTCTCTGTGTATATAATTAAAAGAAAAAACAAAGCACGTATCCAAGTGTAATAATCATAAATTGTGCATTTTGTGCGTCCATCATTTGCGATTCGAAACCACTGCACGGTTTAGTTGTACGCAACGTACCCACGACGATTATAATACAATAATATGTCCTTCAATGAAAAACGTATTTCTACTTGTTCGTTCAAAGTCTTAGGGAAAATAAAAAAATAAAATCAAAAACCCCTAAAGGGTCGTCGGTATGGACACAAACATACACGTGGGTGCACACGTGGCTGCCTGGTGCTACTTCCGCGGTTATATCGCGACTGCTACTCCAAATCCGGGTGTGGAGGAGGGGTCCACGTGCCGTTCTTTTATTTAGTTTTTTATTCCTCCGCCGCAGCAACAGCCACTTAAAAAAACACAGTCAATAACGCGGTACATTGTGTGCATGCTCAATGATTGCCGGCCGTGTGTGTAGGAGGGCAAGGGGCGTGCAGCGCGTATGTACAATACAGGAAAGGGGTGCGATTAATTTCACGAATAAAACCATCGACGACGAGTGGTGTGGGAACGTGGACGAGAATCGCCTGTAAATCCGCGAGAAGTTTTCGCTGTGCTCTGACTCTGTGTAGACGCCGACGACGACGACGGGGTTTGGTTAGGCGCTGCTGCTAATTGGCAACCGAAGACATTGTGTGTGGTGAGCGCGCGCGCGTGCGTCTATTGTGTAAGTGATTTCGTTTCTCGTTATTCGACCGCGTGCAGAGGGCAAACGGTCGGACAACAAACGAGAGGAGGAAAAAAAAAGATTATAGAATTAGGGAAACGTCGTCGTCGTTATTGTCTTTGTGGAGGATATTTTCCGTTGCCGAAAGACGAGCGCGACACTAATTGCCATAATGAACTTCTGTTTTAAAGCCTCAACGTTATACACGGTTCTCACCGCCCACGTACCACTCTGCCATCACGAAATTCCTGCTTGTCGTCGTTATTACTATTATCATTCAGCCGTTTCCGAAAAAAAAAATTACAATCGTCCTCCCCCCGCCCCGCGTTCGCTTCCAATCCATCGCCTCCGTCGTCTACCGTGTTCAAATCTGGCAACATTTCCAACAAGACCAAACTGGGATCCATCGAGTTTGTCTCGTATCAAAATATACATAATGCGCATGCATAAATAAATGCCCTCGTCGTCGTTGGATCGGATTAAATCTCTTGACATACCTCTCTCCAGAACTCTTAATCCTTGCTTCTGTATAGCACACAGGAATAACTATCGTACGTGTATAACCTCTTTATTGATTTCTTTTATCACGTTTTATTTTGGTCTTTGACAATATGTACATTGAATGAAGTCGAATTTTACGATGAACGTAAATTGTAAAATATAGCGCACTTATATTATATCAATATAATAATACGAAAAAAATTAAATATTATTATTTTTGTTTATCCGCTTACTTAGCAAACCTGAATTTGTTTATTTTTAAAATTATTCCAATCTGACAGAATCAGTTTTGTTTTGTTGTTACCAGTCTACGCTAACTTGCAACTATGACTACAAATAACTAACATTTTATTTATACAATATACGTATACATAAATACCTATATTGTTACTCTTTTCAAATAATTTACCATATATTTCCTTTGGAATATTACGTATCATAATAGTGTATTTGATGGGGGAGAAGGGGAGAACTGCGATGAAGGTGATCAACCTCATCAATTGATATATTTATGTAGGTACTTGCTATATATTTACTATATTTAAATACAATTAAGAAAATTACAAAGAAACTTGGAATTTAAGATTTAGCAAGATTGTTGATTATTATTGTTACCTATTATTATTATTACCTATTGTTGATTATTATTTTGAAAAAAAATTTTTTTAGTACCTAATGTATATTGTATTATTATTTTATGTGTTTAAGACCTCGAAGATTTTAGGTTTTCAAAATTCATACTGTGTAAATTTAAAAAAAAGGTACTCATATTAGGTGCAATAAATGTTGTTTTAACTAACTCCCAGGGTACATCTAGGATATTTTTTTTGGGGGGGGGGGATATAATAAATATAGCCCCATTCTTCTTAAGTGAAATTTTATTCGCTACCCACCTTCAAATATAGAATTAAGTCAGATAAGCATCTGATGTATCTTGTAACATTATTTGTTTCAAAGGACACTATTAATTAAATTGTTCATCACATAAAATAAAAAACTGTACACCATATTTTTATTGGTTTATTTTATGATTTTTGTTTTATTTTAATTTATAGGTTTAAGAGAAATGTTTTCAAATACCAATGATCATAAGCAAAATTTGACACAAGAATATCTTATTAATAATTTACGTTCAAGATTTTTGTTTTCAAGGTAATTATTTACAAATACTTTGCATGATACAAAAGTTTCTAACTCATTATCTATTATTTTAAATTAACATAATTATCATATAATTGCATTCACCGAGTATGATATTTAATTGCAATACTTATGTATATTTACTAAAATATCAACATTTCATAATAATCCTAAAAGTTAACTAACCCAGTAGTATTATTGAAAAATTGTAAATTCTCACCAAATTTGTATTTAAAAAGCATATTATAACAATGGCATTTTATACATTTATATTTTTCTTTTGTATGTAAATATATCGCCAAAAATAACATTTTTTTTTTTTTTTTTTTTAAGCTACGCATACAATGTAACTTGTATAATAAATGTTTGTGAGTGTGTGTGTATGAAGAAAGAGAATAACACACAAAAGGGATATAGTATGTATATATTCTAGAGAAAATCGACAATATTTCCTTTTCTCCTTGCAAGGTTTGCAGGAGTGTAGTGGTCAGAGGGAGAAGAAAGGTTATCGGGTATTATACGCCGTTGCCTTGCGGTTTATCGTACGTTCGCGCTTCGTTCGCTCATTCGTGTATTGTACATATATATAGAACTTACAAGACGATGCTCTGGGCGTTTTATGTACAGCCCACCCCTCTACCTCACGATCCCCCTTGAAATTCTCCTGTACTCGATATTCGCATCCTTTTTCCTTGAGGGGGGAAAGGAAGGGTACGGGTGGGCGTGTTTCCCATTGCGCGGGTCCACAACTTTACCCCCTTCGTAACCCCACACAACTGTTTCATCGACTTTAGTCGTCCCTTCAACTGTATATAAACGAGTATACAAAGGGGGGCACGTTATTTCAAAAGGCCCCCCCCACCCTCGTCTACTTTTGGAGTACGATCGATAAAGCAAGACGTCGTCGTCGTCCTTTTATTTTCGACACTGTGTTCCATTCTCTCTCTTGTCCTTCGTTCTCACCACTACTTCCCCGTGTGCTAGCCACTGCGGCAGGATCCGATGGTTTGATATTGGTTTTTGGTTTTGCTTTGAATTCTCCACCATTGTCATTATCGCTTGTGTCTCATTTCTTACATTCTCCTATATATATATATTTCAGTGTATAAAAAAACTTCGTGCACCAGGCAGGTTGGATATAAGAAGTTTGTGCACAGAATACACAGAATAGCGAGGTAGTGAGAATGAAAAGACGTTGAACAGTTGTCTGTTTCGAAGGGGGTCAGTGGAAGCTATCAATAACGCTTCGTCCCTTGGGTACGGCCGACAAAGCGATCGTTATTTCCCCAAAAGCCACATCTTATACGTGTATATATATTTAGTCCAAAACCCTTTCCTGACCTACCAGCTCAGGTCAATACACGAAACTGCGAGACAGTATGTACATACTCAACGTCATAACTGTATATCAATTTATTTGTGTTTAATTATTTACACTCGGTGATGCACAGTCGACAGCGTAAATATGAATTTAATAGTATTATTTGGTGAATAATAATAATAATAATATTATAATTGTATAGAAATAAAAAATCCAGTTTATGACATGTTCGTTTTTTATTGCTTTTGATATTTTGAGATGAGGATATTTTAAGTTTCGCGTAGTCTTTATAGAAGCACGCAAAACAAACAAACGTCATGGGCCAACCGATTCGGTATGGCAGCTGTACAAAGTAATAACAAGGACCGCCGTTTATATATTGTGAAAGCGACCCATTTAATTATATTTCATAAATAATAATAATAATAATAATAATAATAATAAACACACAGCGATGAAGAATTATGAACTCTGTCGCTGGTTGGGGGAGAGAAAAAATTATAATAATAAATACGAGTTGTTGTAGACTAGTTTTCTGCCAAACAGTTACCAACTCTGCCGCCAAAACCTGGGAAAATGTATTTATTTTTCTTTAGTTCAATTTGATTTTATATATATATATATTTATTAGAGCTCTATTCATATGATCGCCTTCGTCACTTTTTTATATATTCGTCAATAAACAAAGAATGACTAATAAAATAAATTAATTACCAATGAAGTCGGATGCCGAGATCATTCAAGTTCTTCATTTTTTATATAATTATTAAAACTCATACTTATTGGAGTCGACCCACATTTTTATTTTTATACATTAACGAAGCCAGGATGCACTTCGGAAAAATAAAAGAGTGTTCGAAAACATTAAATTTTATATTTCATCTATTTCATAATAAATAACAAATATAAAGTTTGTTAAACAATCATATTTTTATGTAAAACAATGAATGAAAAAATAAATACTTATTGATTTAAACTTTGTTACTTGCTGTATACTTTGATTGAGTTTTTCCGGGCGGAATTTTATGTAAATACTTAAAGAAATATATCCGTTGAATACTCTTTTTTTTATGATATTTCTCATGACATAATAAGTTTCTTTTTAACAAATAGTTGACTACATAATTTACATTTCCATTGAGTTGATATTAAAAACATTCGCTCTAATTTATGTTTCTATATTTAGTGCGAAATATTAATATAATACAGGCCTGATCAATAAAAAATTAAATGGTGGCTTTTTAGTATATTTATATTTTTTAGTACAGTTTATTAAGTAATAACTTAGTGTATAATCCTGGACATTTTTTTTAATTTAATAAATAGTTTTTTTTTAAATTATGTTTATCATCACACATAATTTTTTCTTTAATTTGTTTAAATAATAGTTTAAGCATTGATTATAACGTGTACATACATTAATTCATTAATACGAGTATGTATAAAATAATCATAAATTATTTTAAGTAAATTTCAGGGTTATCGGAATAAAATTTATAGAATTGTTATGCATATACAAATTAAAAATAAATATTGTTTCACCATTAATATTTTTGCCTGTGATATTCTTTAACATGTGTTTAAGCAAAGGTTAACCTTTAGGTTATCTACATCTTTGCGTGGATTCATTGAACATTTTTAATTGAAATCATATCCGCTTATGCATTTGACAAATTTTGTATTCTGAGTTCACAAACTTATATAATGTCGTAGTTATCGATTATCACTGATATAACACATTGATTGCAGTGTATTTTAAAATAATTCATGAAATAAATGTAGATAATAAAACATGAAATCTGAAAATGAACGACAATCACATAATACTTTTATCACCATATTATATGAAATAATTTTACATAGATTCGATGAAAACATTTTAATGACAAAAAAAAATCATTATGAAACGAACAATAACGAAAAATAGGTAAATAGGAGCAGGAGTTTGCCGAGCTTCCCATTTTGACATTCAAGGCCGATGTCATAATGAAAAATGTATAATTCCAAATAATATTTACAAAATATTTTAATATTATCAATTAATTTTTTTTTTTTTAATTAATGATTATCAAGGTTCATTTATACAATAGATGAATTATCAACAAATTTGGATTGGACGCAGCTTTATTGTAAGCAGTAAATACATTAACGTAATTGCTGTTTTAACTCCAACAGAAAATTAAACATAAAATACCACAATTTGATGTATAATCAGAAACAAAAGTATCAATTGGACTTCTAGACAAACTTTAAAATTAAACGTCTCAATAAAATATCGACAAAATATTTAAATGAGGTTAAATAAAATATTTTCAAAAAGTTTCACATTTATTGCTGATGTACAATATTTACATCTTGTGTTTAACATCCCCATTTATTATATTATACTTTGGGTTTGTCTGTTTTTATGTTTTCAGTGTGAATGATTTGTTTTTCGGAAATTCAAAAAATAGATTTACTAGATTTTATCTATACATATTGTGCAGTAATATTTTTACGTATATTTGAAGATATATTATAATTTAAATTATAAAGTTATATTAAGTCTAAATCGATCACATAGGTTGTGATTATAAAACCATACCTGTATCACCTATATCTGGAAATTATAAGAGATAAAGATATATATTATCATGTATCCATTATTGTTTTATTTTCCTTAACAGAGCTTCTTGCTCTATTGGACTTGAAACTACGACTCGTTTATTTACATGGTACTTTTTCTGTCATTTACGAGTTTCTCTGATTTTTCAATTCTATTTAATAATATACATCATTTATAATCTATTTCCACGATAAAAATGTATTTTATAACCAGGGCTCGGAAGTTTTAGCAAATGCATATTTTTCTTGGTTCATCTTAGAACATCCAAAGTAAGATGCAAATATGTTTCTCACTACTCGGATATCATACACAAAATTTAATTTTGCTATTTTTTGCATAATTACGGGTTTTATTGCTATTTTGCTAATTTAGAGTGCTATTTTCTGGTATATTTTTACATAATGTAGGAAATAATCACATTTTGTTGATAATAATTATATTTATTTGATTATTTTTTTAAAAAATATTTTACTTATTGGAAATAAATAGACCTCATCAAATATTATTTAATTTTTTCATCGACAATTTGATGTATTAATAGTTAGTGATGTCATTATTATTCCCTTATACCATTGCATTAGATTACCAAACATTTTAATAATCTAGGATAATTTCCAAGGTAATTACATAAAATAATTTAATAATAAGTACATTTTTACAAATATATTTAAGTAATTTAACATTTTTGCTAACAATTTATAATTCAATCAGTCCAGACTGTGTCTAATGATCTCAACAATTTGTAAAATTACATTTTTTTCAAGTTAAATGCATATTTTTTGATTTTTCGTGCTATTTATAGCGCATATTTTAAAGTTTTTAAGTGCATATTTAAGAGCTAAAAAGTAACATTTTTAATACTACAACTTCCGAGTCTTGATTATAACCTAATATACATTACGTGTTTGCTACTTTGTTATTTTGCTATTTTATTAAAATCATAACGCAATATTCTAACTTATTTGGCCCTAAAATTATTTGAAAATAAACATTACTTGAAATAATATTTTTTTAAATTTATTTTAAACCATAGAAGGATTGGTAAATTTAAAATTCGAACAATCAAATTAAATATATATAGTAAAT